GGGTCAAGTGGGGCAAGTGGGGCAAGTGGGGCAAGTGAGGCAAGTGGGTCAAGTGGGTCAAGTGGGTCAAGTGGGTCAAGTGGGGCAAGTGGGGCAAGTGGGTCAAGTGGGGCAAGTGGGGCAGACCCATTAATCCCCCCCAACGCCGACACTCTCAATAATTCTGTTTGCTCTCTACCTCACACCTCATCCTATCTAGTGTCTTACACTGACGGCTCTTGTCCCAATAATCGTACAGTTGGCCCTGATAACCCCGCCGGATGGGGCTTCGCTCTATACTTTACGGACTCTTATCCAAACTCACATTCTGCTGTCAATGACTCCTGGGTATGTTCTTACGGACAAGTCAAAAACTCTCCGCTTGACTCTAATTAATCCTGTTGATGGCTCCAACAACACTGGAGAAATGCGGGCAATCATTGAATTATCTGATTATATCCTTTTCTACTCTGATTTACCTCATGGTCCTTCCGTCATTACCCATATTGACTCCTCTTACGTCATTCGTTCTCTACGAGGAGATCAGCTCCCGTCTGCTCATCACCAGCTAGTTGAGCTCGCTCAGCAGTATTACACAGCCCTCCTTACTATGTTGATCTCGTCAAAGTACCTTCTCACGTTGGTATCCCTGGTAATGAACTTGCCGACTCCCTAGCCAAAAGGGGGGTCACTTCTAGTGGCCGCGCAGGTCGCTTTCTCTCTCGTTCTCCTCTTAATCCTCCTCAACTTGGATATAACTCTGACATTTGGCTTTCTAAAACTCCTCAAGAACAAGCCGATTTTCTTTGCTCCTTACTCCTAGCTAAGAAAACTCTTTTACCCTCTCTCCCTGTCTCCGCCAAAAAACCCTGGATCTCTCCTTCCAATCTCGGCCTTATTTCTCAGTTTCAAGACTGTACTGATCTCACTGTTCCGGAGCTCAAGTCGCTCCGCAAGCTAATTAAGAAATCCGCCTCCCGTGATAAAAAACAATTTATTGCGCAACACCTACAAGAAGATTTCCATGGTCCCTCCATTCATCAATGGCGTACAGCCCGCTCCATTCGTAAGCCTTTTACTCCTCGTTCCGTTAATCTCTTTAATATTCACGGTAAGCTCTCTTCTAAGGATCTTCGCGCTACTACATTCGCCGAATATCTCTCTGAAAAAGTCTGGAAGGCCCCTGACCCTCAACCTGAACTCTTAGATAATCCCTCTCCAGTTATAGACTGTTCCGGTCCGTTTACTATGGCTGAGCTCAATATTGTCCTTAGATCACTTCGTACGGGCCGGGCTCCCGGACCTGACTCCATTCCCGCTGATATGATCAAGGGCTCCCCGTACATTCTCAAACTCTTTCTTTTGGATCATTTTAATCATTGCCTGTCTACCTCCACCGTCCCTGACTCTTGGGCATTATCTGAGGTTGTTATGTTAGTTAAGAAGATCCAACATGATACACGAGACCTCGCTAGCTATAGACCTATCTCCCTCACCAATTCCATGTATAAATTTTCGCCTCATTAATTCAAAAACGTCTGGCTCATCACTTCGATGATAGAATTCGTTCTACTCAATTTGGCTTCCGGGCTAAACACTCTACTAACCAACCTATCCATATTATGCGTAGGATTCTCGAAATCTATGAAAGACAACAGAACTCCCTTCATGTTCTTTTTCTCGATTGGTCAAAGGCATTCGACTCAGTTTCTTTCTTCGCTATCTAGTCCTCTCTCCGTTTTTTTGGTGTTCCCCCCTTTTTCGTTGACGCAATACTTTCTCTGTATCGCTCTCCCAAATTTCGCGTTAGGGATGCAGGTAAGATCTCTGAGGTCTATCCCCAAACTCGTGGTCTCCGTCAAGGTTGCCCTCTTTCCCCTTATCTCTTTAATTTCGTTCTCTCTCATCTCTTCTACGACGTGGAAACCTCTTACACCTCACAGTTTGGCCTCCTTTCTGGGGTTATCAATACCCCGTCCCCCCTGTGGGACTTAGAGTATGCCGACGATACGGCTCTCATGTCTAACTCCGCTGAACAGATCACAAGGCTCCTTCATATACTCCAGTCCGAGGCCCATTTCCGTGGTCTCACTCTCAACTTTGATAAGTGTGCGCATCTCCGTTTACATTCAGACGAGAGGGTTTTCTTCTCACCGTCTCTTTCTTCTCCTTGTGACTGCTCACGTTGTCATGGTCATCTTGACCCTCCTCTACCTGTTCCTCTCTCTGGAGAAGTTAAGTATCTTGGTGTCTTTCTTGACTCTCTATCCAACAATAGAAAAAATGTCTCCTATCGTGTCTCTCAGGCCATGTCGGCCTCCAAACTCCTCCGTCCCCTCTTAGCCCATAGAGCCTTGCCTCCCTCTTGGAAACTCACTGTCTATGGCTCTATTATACAGTCCATTTTGCTTTATGCTATGGAAAGTTCGCAACTCACTCCTCCACAGCTTACTAAGCTCAATCATGTTCATTTCAAATCCCTCAGACGCATTTTCCGAATCAAATCATCCTTTTATCATAGAGTCCTCAATCCCACTGATGAGGATTGTTCAAATGCATATCTGGCTTCCCTCTCTTATGATTCATCTAGAGTTATCACTCCCTCACAAATCTATTCACAGAATCGCCTAACACTCCTTGGACATTTATTCCGTCATCCTACCTCTCTCGAGTACTCCTCCACATTTATGCCTTCGGGCCAGTATCGATACACTAGAGGCCCTAACAGGGTTGGACGCCCCCGATTGCACTGGGCGGAATCAGTTATGTCTGAAGCCTCCAACAGAATCTCCTTTTTAACCTCTGACCGAGCCCCCGCTCATTCCAATATAGACCACTCCTTTTTTCAGATCCCAAACATCACCAATGTCGGACTGACGCATGTTTCTCCTTCTCTCATGTGGATGGACAATACCTCCCTATATAGACGTATTCAACCTAAGACTCTTAACAGAAGGGAATGGATTAGCGTAGTTCATAAACCTAAGAAGCAAAACCACACTGACAATTGATTGCTGCTGGTGCTGACGGCTTTGACCAAAGCTTTCGCAGTTCAAAAAAATATCCATCCATAACCCATCGTAATCTCTGTACATCTCCATATAATCTAAGCCTAAACCTCACATCCTAAACCCTACACCCCAAACCCGGACCCCTCAAACCTTAGCCTCATTTGCATCGTCATTAGGAGTTCGACAACGGTGATCAAGAGGCCGCCGATTTGGCTCGCTGCCTAGATTTTTAGGATTTTCAAGTGTCGTAGTACATCATCGAGATTATAGGAGTATATAGGCACATACGGGATTGTACAGGGGCATATAGGAATGTATAGGGGGATATAGGGATTGTATAGGGGCGTGGAGGGATAACATGGAGAATTAAAAGGAAGTGACAATGAACAATGGAGTGGTGATTGGGCTTATTTCGGGCTTGAAGGGCTTCTAGGTAGCGGACAAACCAAGTCATCAGTAGATAATATCCCATAGTCTCAAATACGTACTGCAAATGCAAGAGCAAACACTAGTGTCAGGGATTAGCCTTTGGGTTTGGAGCTCTTGCTTTCTTTTGCGGCCAGAGTTGGTCTGAGGCCATGCCAACATTAGAACGAGCCCTTGACAAGCTGAAGCTGGCACATGGGCAGCTGCAGCCTTATTGCATCAACCGCACGCTATTGTGCAGCTGTGGCCCAGCTGTCTGCCGAGGCTGCTGAAATCCAAGCCGGCTGGCCAAGATGCTAGAACTGGCCTCAGCAGAACATGAACACTTTGCAGCATTTGGCACTAGCTTGTTTGGTCACCCAGGTTTGCAGAAGCAGAATGCCGTGGCCAGATCCCCATGCTGAGCTTGTAATTTGAGGGTTACTAGACTAAAGGTCTTCTGCAGAAGGCCTGCTGCTCCGGCATGCCTTGAGGCTTCTGAACGCCTCCTGAGCAGGCAGCTGCAAGCTCAGGCAGGCCCTTGATTGAAATTCAGACCTGCTGCGCGTGTCAGACCATAGGTCCCTGTAGCTTCCAAGATAAAACGTAGTATCTTCAGGGTTGCAACCCTGAACCCGGGTTTATATAGGGTTTAGGGTTATATTGGGATAATGGAAAAGGAAATGGAAACTAGGTCCACGGCGCGTATTCTGCCGTGGGTTGTTAAGGACTTGCGCACAAGCAGAAGTTGAGCGTAGCAGGCGTTTGTGTGGGAATTTACAGTACTCCGTGGCTTTGCTTGTAAATGTACGATTTTTACCCCGTTTTCCAAGCAGAAAATGGTTTTCGTACTGTAAATTACAGGCTCAAGTGCTGTTTTCGGGGTCCGCGAAACTAATGTCAAAAACCAGGTTCGTACTGTAAATTCCCACACGAACAAGGCGCGCAAAAGACTGTTGTTTTCTACAGCAGGGCTTCGAGTGCGACCAAAAACTCCTGGGGAGTCGTGGAGTCGGTGGACTTTTCTCCACATCCATTGACTAACCAGAAGCTGGATGCTCCGGTAATCGTATGCTTTAGGAACACGAACGTTATTATGATTTTGGCATGGGTGCTCTGGTAATCGTATGCTTTAGGAACACGAACGTTATTGCGGTTTTGGCATGGATGCTCTGGTAATCGTATGCTTTAGGAACACGAACGTTATTATGATTTTGGCATGGATGCTCTGGTAATCGTATGCTGTAGGAACACGAACGTTACTATGATTTTGGCATGGATGCTCTGGTAATCGTATGCTTTAGGAACACGAGCGTTATTATGATTTTGGCATGGACGCTCTGGTAATCGTATGCTTTAGGAACACGAACGTTATTATGATTTTAGCA